TGTCTCCCATTTTGTCTTGATGGCTGCTTGAAGATCTCCTTTGTAGTTTCATCCTTCAGTTTCCGAGTGTTGTACTTGAATTGAGGTCTATCACCAGCTTCCTTGAAGGCTTTTAACTTGATTTGGAAGGTTCCTTGCACTAGATAGTGGTCTGAACCTACATCTGCTCCTCTTCTTGACCTTGTGTTAAGTAGACTGCGTCTCCATTTTCTTGAGATTGAGATAAAGTCGATTTGATTTTTAGTGTGTCCATCTGGTGAAATCCATGTCGCTTTGTGGATATCTTTGTGCCTGAACACACTGCCTCCAATCACCAAATCGTTGAATGCGCAGAATTCTGCAAACAATTCTCCATTCTCATTCATTTCACCTAGCGCCTCTCGACCCATGGTTAGTTCTCTTCCCGTGTTGTCCCCTCCCAGTTTGGCATTCATGTCGCCCATTAGAATTTTGATATCGCCAACTGACGTCTTGTCCAGTGTTGATTGAAGTTGTCTGTAGAAATCCTCCTTTTTCTCTTGCTCTGCATTATTTGTAGGTGCATAACATTGTATGATTGTGACCTTCCTTCCTTTTGAGTTGAATCTTGCTGTCATGATCCTGGAGGAGATTGGTTCCCACTGCATGAGAGCCTTCGATGCTCTTGAGGACATCATGATAGCCACTCCCTCAGTGTGCTCGTGGTTGTCGTGGTCTGGGTGACCGGAGTAGATTATTGATTCTCCAGTTGACAGTTTGGAGAGTCCACTCCCATTCCATCTGCTTTCGCAAATCCCAAGCACTTCGATGTTATACCTTCTCATCTCCTTTGCAATCTGGGCTGCCTTACTGGGTTCAAACATCGTGCGGACATTCCATGTCCCCACGTTTACTTTCGCTTTCATCGAGAGAGAAGACACATCGGCCAATTGGCTTCCCGAAAGGCTTTCACCAACTGGCGTCATTTCGCCTCTCCGATTCCAGCGGGGAATAAGTTTGTTTTCATTTTTTATATTTTGTTTGTGCTTTGAAGTTTCTTTAGCGGTTAGATTTGTTTTACGGGGTAGGGTTGCTAGCCCTATGCCCAACCTTCCCTCTTTACCCGGGCTTAGGACCGGCTAGTAACTAGTAAACTAGTTAACCAGGCGAGGTACCAAACTGGAATTCCATGTATGACAGAGCAACAGACGATATTCACTGCAAATGTCGTGGCTGTCGTGCTTCAGTGGCCTGGCAGATAACTCTGGCGTTTAAACCAATGGGTACTGGGTTGGGGTATCATTGGGAACAACAAAGGTATAGCGGATGCCACCTATAAGAGTACATATAGTTAGTATGTGTCGAGAGGTCGGCGGAAAGAATAGACAATCAGGAGCGATGGATAGAGATTCTCCCCAAAGAAGGGCGAAAGGTGACTTGGCTGTATCACCAGCAGGACGGAGTAGGAGAAGAAGGTGAACTTAAACACAATGTGCAAGTTGATTTTTCAACGGAGGGTTGTGATACTTTGTTATTGTTTAAACTGTTTGAACGAACAATCTTTCCGAGATTTATCCTTTTCTCTTTTCTCCACAGATACGCTCAGCTTACGAGCCCTAAGGAGTATGAAACGCGTGTGTCGTATTACACTGCTAGTCGACCACATCAATATATAATTTTTCCCCTTAACCATGAAAAGATACGGACCTTTGGGGGAGCATCCAAAGGCCCTGACCTGAATGCGTACTTGGACAAAGATTCAAGCCATACCAGAATCAGGTGGTGGTTTGAGAGAGGCATTTTTCGAATATAGACGACTGAGTTGTGACTTAATAACAACATACACCATTTTAAACACCTCAGTTCACGGGTTTCGCTGTTTTCTTAGGCTAAGCTCTAGTATGAACATTAAGGGGGAACGCCGACAGGCTAGATGTAGGACACAGTAGGACAGGCATCGGGAGTAATTTTCTCCCCGTGGGAGCTAACGATCACTGAAATGCCCTTCACTTAGAATTTGTTCCTGTTACAATATTACGGTTCCTCAAACACAAACTTGATGTCCACTGAATTTCACAGCGTGAGCCTGCAAACTAAGTAGCCAACAAGATTTTTTTACTTCGCTTTTCTCTTCTTTTCCTTTGTACCAAGGTTCTTAAACATACGGGTTAGTTATTTACTGACTTCAGATGAGAAAACCAATTCAGAGAAAGTTTCTTCATTCCGGACGAACCTTGCTCAAAAGCTCGAGGCAAATCCTACAAACCTATATCGGTTTGTGGCAGGTAGAAAATCCACCGGCCAGGAGGCCTGCGTCCCGAAAGGCCTAAACGGAGAGAACCTCTCCGGACTAGAGATCGCCGAAGCCTTTAGCACCACCTTCGATACGAAACTCAATACGTCCCTGTCAAACCAAAATTGCCAACTGTCCGACCTAAATTCAGCACCACCAAACGCAGTAGAGTTGCCTGGAATAAAGGTAACTCCTGCTATGGTCCTCGAAAAACTGTCAAAGCTCCGCCCAGGGAAATCACCAGGGTGTAATGACATCCGACCGGCTGTGCTGAAACAGTGCGCGGGCTCCTCGTGCGGTCCGCTGTGTAACTTGTTCCAACACTATTTAGACAATCACATGCTTCCACAAGAGTGGAAAAGTGCTATTCTGTCCCCCATCTTCAAAGGTGGAGGCAGCCAGGACCCAAAATGTTACCGACCCATAGCCCTCCTACCAGTGGTGTTGAAAGTAGTGGGGAGTCTGGTAGACTGCCATCTCAGGGAGCACTTAGAAAAAAGGGGAGCACTTAGTGATGCACAACATGGTTTCAGAAAGGGTAGGCCCTGTGCCACAAACATTCTGGCGGCAGGTGATAAGTGGACGGCATGCTGGGACCTCCAAATTCTTGTCTATGTAATTTTTCTGTATCTTACACACCGTTCTTATTCACGAAATAGAAAGGTTGGGCATCAAAAGACAAGTGCTTTCATGGTTGCAGGACTATCTAGACGGTGGACAATTCTCCACAAAAGCCAACAGAGTTTGCTCAACTTTGAGGACATCATCATCTGGTGTATCACAAGGGGCGATTCTGGGTATTCTGCTATTCCTTCTTTTTGTAAATGACCTCCCACTGAATCTCAACTCCCCAATTCTACTTTACGCTGATGGTGTCAAGCTATGGAAAGCTGTGCCGTCAGAAACAGAATCAAGTGCACTGCAAAGTGATCTCAGATTACTTGCAGAGTGAGTGGACATTAATGGACTTGCATCTAACTTAGACAAATGCCGAGCCATGTTTCTCCACACCCCAGACTCTCAGGAGGTACCCTGTTCTCTCTGTAAAACACAACTCTCTCACACCACCACAGGGAGAGACCTGGGACTAATACTAACCGACAAACTAGAAACAAGCCCCAATTATCCAGGGGATGCCTCCAGAGCCTACGCAGTACTGCACTTCATGCGCGGGCAACTGGGAGCCCTGACCCCGGAACTCTTTTTAAAGCTGCATAAGACGTATATAAGACCCCATCTAGAGGCACACAACATCATTGCACCACCATATCTGAAAAGGGACGTGAGCCTCCTGGGAAAGCCCAGAGGCGAGCTACAAAGGGTGTCGTGGGAATGAGGCAAAAACCATATCAGGACAGGCTGAAAGATCTAGGGATCTTCTCCCTAAGCTACCGCAGATTACGTGGTGACTTGATAACGGCTTACAAAATACTAAGTGACCCAAGTCATCCGAACAGTGGAATCCTACCGGACGGCCACTATGGCGATCCTCGTGGTAACTCAAGGAGGATCGCCCAACACAGAGCGAAAACCTGTGTGCGATCACACTTCTTCTCTCTGCGAGTTTGCGGCCACTGGAACGCATTGCCAGCCAAGATTGCTACTTCTCCGTCTGCTGACAGCTTCAAGAAGAGGTTGGACAGTTACGCAGCGACGCACGGTTTGCGCTCATCCAACTGGGATGTGGACTAGGCTAACACGACCTACTAACTCGGTGCGACCAACCGTCACTGAACACTTGGTAAAACCACTTTCGCTGAGAACTTGGCTTAACCTTATACCTTCCTGTAGACATCCCCTCAAGTTATCATCCTCTACCAAAGAATTACTATATTCCCATTCGTCCTATAATGTTATTTATTCTTCTTCTGACTCTACGTTCTCGAACTTTGACAAAAGCTCTCCCTATCACCTATTCCCCATGAACCTACCAATATTTTATTCTTCTGTTTCGTTTCCTTTTTCTTATTCTTTTTTCTTTTTCTTTTCCTATTTTGTCTGTCTCTGCACTTCCTCTCCCTTGATTTCTCTGCACATATTTTTCACCTCCTTCTTACAACCAGTCCAATCAATTATCTGCTGGCACGACATTTGAGGAACCCATCTGCACCGCAGTCCTCGGAAGAAAAAGCAAACAAACAAACAACACTCCCTACAAATCTAAACAATACCCAACCGCCCATCGGGCTAATCAGAGCTACAGCAATCGAGTGGGTGGACCTACTGCATTGGAATCCACCAAAGACCTGGAACGGCTCCGCAAGACCTAGAAGCAAGCGCGAAGAAATTAACTGGTTTACACTAGCTCGTTAAAAGATATTGGATATTGGATTCCATTCCGTCAACATCCACCTAGAACCGCTACACCTAACTCCGGCAAATGGCTTTAACCCCTATGTTGAAGGCAGTAAATTAAGAGCTAAATTTACACAGAGATATCTGCTGCAACAATGAATAAAGTTCAACCAATTTATAATCTTTGTTGCTGAAGTCTGAAAACAATGTCAGAAAACTGAATGGTGATAACTGGTAAATATTAAGGATAAAGATATCATTGTCCTTTTTTCTATTTTTTTCAGGATAAGGGAAAGAATTGTGACAATAAAAAACAAGGGATTTTCTTTAATAATGCAGATGCAGAATCCAAAGAACAACCGTTCACTATTGTTACAATGCGGAGTTTGAAGATGCAGATTGGACGCATTTTTCATGAACCCCAGGAAAAAGAAGTGTAGCGGTACGGTGTGGAATGTTTTATCACGTAAGTTTTTCTTGTGCACTATCGTTACTTATTACTTCAGATTAAATTAGAACATGAAATTTTACTGCACCCAAAGTATTTTGGACCGAATCTGACAGAAACAGTCAAAACTAAGTTGTTTTCAGATGTGAGGGCACGTGTTCTGGGAAGTGAGTTATGCCATTCACTTAGTTCATGGAAAGGTACGGCTTCATCATTGCTGTCACGAATATAGAACATATCGGTGCTGGAATAATACAACCAAACAGGGGGTTCGTACAGTACCGTATAGTATACCGTGCTATCGTTTATCGGCCATTCAAAGGGGAGGTCGTAGATGGCATTGTCACTCAGGTTACCAAAGTTGGAGTATTTGCTGAAGCTGGTCCGTTAACCATCTTTATTTCCAAATATGTATGCACCCGTTACTGATTATATGCTTTAGTCTGTTCCATCCAATATTAAATTCGAAGGTGCTGAAACCGCTACTGATGGTCTCAATGAAGATGAGGAGGAAGAAGTACGTTACTGTATATAATTTCATGCAGTCGATATGGTTCATTTTTGCCGTAAAACACCCAAACTTGGCAACTTTTCTCTTCTAGACTCAGACGGTTCAAATTGAAGATCGTATCAGAATCCGAATAATTGGTCTTCGGGTTGATGCTAGCGATATCGTAAGAAACGTTTGCTCGTTTTTATAAACATTTAAGATGGGGTTTAGTCGTAAGTATTTTTGTAGACCTGAGTTAGTGTGCTGAAAGTCCGGACCAAATTACTCACTTTCGAATACGCAGAGCATCCATGATTGCTTTTATGAAATTTGTATACGAGTTGTGCCAGGATATTTTCGTTAAATTGTATAAATAGTGCATTCATCGTAGGAAAAACTGTCGAGTAATGTTGCATGTTTGAAATTTTGTTTTGAAGCGTACTTTCAATAGTTACAACAGTTGTATTTTGGTAAGAGGTTAACCTATCCTTCTTCCCTCAGTCCCAATCTTTCAGATCAGTATTATAATTAGCTAAGCTTGTATTGACTTAGGTTGTTATGCTGTATGTTGCTTGTCACTATATAATTAACTATTTTAGAGACCAAGCAAGTGTATTTCGATGGGTTTGCAAATACTAACGAAGAGTAAACAGTTCCATGCGCTATAATTCATAATAGTTAGTTTGCAAACCGTCGAATTTCGGCTTTCCTAGAGTCATTTTCACACGCATATAACAGACATGGATAAGTCCATGTATGGGTACTGAAACTAAAAATTCATTCACCATGTACGAAATGGGAATACTTGATTTCCAGAAATCGCGTAAAATCCATGTACCAGTTCGCTGCTGCTTCATGCATATCTCTGCACGCGGTTAACTTACTTTACTTTAATCTATATACGCCTTTTCATCATCTGAAACATTTTAAACTCATTGCAGAGAGCCATTATGATTGACCAGCTTTATGCGTCATAACGGTTCTCTCTGTAACAAGTTAATATGAATTCTGTAGTTACCTTTGGTTTATACACTAGTTGGTTCCTTCTCACAACCCTTGTCAGCATTATTTTTAACATTGTTAAATCACACAAGTGGTTTGTTTCAGTATACCGGTTTTCTTGTTATGCCTTTTATGTAGGGTAAAGTTAGCAACCATATTTTGTTCACCTAATGGTTTCGGGTACTTTAAGATTTTAATAGAAGCTTATCTTGCCGTCACCTCTTTGTACGTAACTATATATATATGGAGAGAGAGAGAGAGAGAGAGTTACATAGATCCAAACATGTAGACTTCTTGAAGTCTTAGTAGCATAGTGTTATTAAACTGTTTTGAAGTCTTTAGTGTGTCGGTAGCCTGTCTGGTGTAATGTGTAAATGGACTCCACTACAGCCTTCTCACCAATTTCGTGAGAAATGATGTATACTATGTAGTTTCCTAGCTTTTCTCCTACTTGTACCCTTACACATCAAGATAGACAGTGTCTTTGTGATTATGCCGTATTTCACCTTTTAGTTTCGTCCAGTGTTGCAACGTTTTACTTCATAGATGCTTTTTATGCATACCACGTCGTAAGACTTCACTATCCAGTCTAAAAGCATCTACACATCTTAATATATTAGTGCTATAATCCTAACCTACCTCTGTATTTTCAGTTCGCTGTGGGCACGCTAATGGACGATTATCTCGGTGAGTGTATGATCTGACCTGTGGTATGTAATAGCTTAAGTCAAATAAAGCTGAAGCACAACTTTTAAGTCCAGTTTCTCTTTCTTTTTATCACTTACTGCAATCTTTCAGTTTTGGGGAGTAGGTGGGAAGTTAAGATAAGAAGAAAGTTATTTGAGTAGCCCCTTCTCAGTACAAGAAGAAGGAATAGGTATTAGTGATTACTTACTTCATATGTAACCAGTAGTGATTGTGATTGCAGGGATAGTAAATTACTTTGTGCGTGAAAGTCATCGTTATTGTGGAAATAAGTCAGTGGCATACGTGTGTGGTAGTTTTTATTTAAAACTCGTTTGTTCTCTAGCCTTTTGTTGGACTGATTTTTATCTGATTCTGGAATTAGACTGAAGTAATGTCTCTTAGGCACTAATCTAGTTATAAAGTGAGTGAAGCAGTGCTTTTCACAGAGTTTATTAGCTACTTACCCATCGGAAAGCTTTCCATCGATCAACCCTGGTCGTGGAAGTAGAAATTTTTTTATTTATCCTCAGGTGTTCACAGAAAATTACCTTACCAACTGATAGTATAATGTAATGCTGATCTGGACTATTACACTTTCTCTACTCCTATTGCTATGAAAGTTTTGAATAGTAGTATGAATTGTGACGTTCATCTGTTGGTTAGTGAAGGGTAACCAGCTTCATGTTGTCGAGTCCTAAGTGTGTTGAACGGATTCTGTCTCCTTTTTATGATGCTGTCATGAAGCTGTGAAAATCATAGTCATGGTGCACTGGGATAAATGTTAATTGGATGGAGGCAGTTGGCAGGACGCCGTGGACCTTGGTTTGTACTTGGCACTTGTCAACAAGGTATATTGGTAACCTTGGTGGAATTGATGTCCCATCTGAAACTGGAATTTACGTCACAGAAAGGTAGTTACGACTCAAGTGGCTCAGTGGTGGTAACGTGTCGAAATACGGCACTGGGTGAAATGGGTTTGAGTCTCAAACGACACATTAGTTCCGTTGAGATTGCAGATACGCCTTGCTGAAGAGTCCCAACGAGCATGAAACCTAGGTTCAGTGCTTTCTGCCGATTGCCTCCGTCTAACTAACAGTTGTGATGCTTAAAAAGCATTTAAAAATGATAATCTTTAAATCTCTTCGTGTTCAAAATGCAAAACGTGGATGTTAGATGAAATAGCGTTTCAAATACATAGGGTTAATTCCCTGGGAAATCAGCTTACATTTTTCTGCTCATTTATTTTGCAATCAGTTCTTCATAGTACTAACTATTGTATCTGGTGTTTTGTGTTTTATCACTTAACTAGGTCCATGCACTTAACTTTCGAGCCGTTGGATTCCATTATTTTTATGCATTCTACTTCATATCGAAGTGCAGTGCTACATGAATTGTCCAAATGTGGTCCTTGTGTTTTCTGTACATATTTTCATTGTGTAAATATAAATGTATGTAACTTATAACCAGTGTCTTCATTTTGGTTTCTAAAGTACACTCCTCAGTTTATATCGTCGTGTGTAGACATTCATTACAAACTTGATATAGGTTACAGTTTATTTAGAAAACCTTTGGATTTTAAACTTCTACTCTTCGTTCGTTCATGATAAATGATAACATATGGAATACAAGCTTGCATATATGAATTACGCCACTCTGGTGTAATACCTCAGATTTTATAGGTGCCTAGTTTTGGTCTGTTTGTCAGAATTAACGATGAAGTGTCCCAACTGTGAATTTGAATGAAATTGTTGCATTCCGAACAGTTGTACTTGTATCATTCAGTTGTTGAAAGCGAATATATTTAACTCTTAAACGGGGTGATGGTGAAACGTCAGGAGCTGACGTCTTGTAGTTCCCATATATATATATATATATATATATATATATATATATATATATATATATACCACAAACACGTAACGGCCCACTGTTGAACAGTAAGGTATATTTGCATCATTCGTGTTAAAACTGAAATAAAGATTGGAAAGGAGTTGTGTAATAATCTTCCGGATGATGCCAGTGACGAGGAAGACAGGGAGTTTGACATAAATTATTACTAGATATGAAATGAAATTGAAAAGAGGAGGAAACAGTGAAGGGTTAAAGGCATGGCAGGATAACAGATTGAGCATACTTGTGTACGCAGAGACCAAGCTTGAATTGATGAATCGGGAGTACTTCTACTTTCCACGTTTCAGCAGTGGACACCTTTTGAACTGTTCCACTCGACTCTGTAGATAACATTCAAGGACTGGCGGAGCTCTATGTCCAGACTTGACCAAATATTTTAGGTTTGAACTGGTAGTTGATATGCATTCTCCCCTCAACGACCATGTAGGATACATTTGGGAAGTCCATGCTTTGTGCTGCCCACTGCAGTGGTCATCGTGATTTGTCTAGGTAGTCACGGAACTTAGTATGGTTGAGTCATTGTTATTATTCGATCTCCTGTTTACTTGTCTTAGTGAAACATTGAGGTATTTGTATGTACTTGGTTCGCCAGTTTCTTTAATATTAGTAAATTTGTTAGTCAGTTGAAGTTGACCCAAAGAAAACCCTATATCGAGGCTTCTTGTTGCCTGTCAACCGAATGCGTTGTAAATGTTAAGGAGAATTATTTTTGCTAAACCAAGTAGGATTAAATTGTGGTCCACTTTACTTCTAGATGCTTAGGATATATAATTATCTCAAGAGCATATCGGGATTACCAAACTTGTCTCGTTTGAGTTTTTAACATGATTTCGCTGTTTATATGCATAGGTGTAGTAAAAGTGGAAAAGCATTTTTTATCTGTTCCAAGTTCCATTCAAGTCATAGTGCTTAATTCCTTGGAAGCAATGCCTTTCTTCACTTTTGTATTCTTCGATATGTAAGCAATGTAACAAACACTTTACATGAACAACCATTATTTTAAGTTGTTTCCAATTAGTATTTGAATTCTACTTAGTAGTTACACAGCAATTTAATCATATATGAGAGTTCACTTTTGTTTCATCTTCCCATTGAAATGGTATAATTAACAAGAATGGAGTATAAGTGTTGTCCTCTTGCTGAAACAAAAGCATTGCTTCAACACATATTCTTCAAATTGGTGTAACCTAGCTGTCGAACACATAATATTACTTCTGGTTCATAAGCTAAAGGCTTTTAGTGTGACTGTAGACTGTTTATTGTACAGGTAGTAAGATTAGTAGCATGAAAATCATTCAGCTCTAAGCACTTTGAATAAGGACTGGTAGAATGTTGCTTAATTGTTTAAGTACATCCGAGTATTGGGAGGCCAAAGGTTTAACATTCTTATATAAGTGCTTTATTGTCAGTGGATGAGTGTATAAAATCAGATTGCTCCTGGAATTTTCAGATTATTAATAAGTGTACTGCATATAAGCTAGTTGATTAAATATCACTTTTGTTTCAATTACAGTGTTTGACTTGAAATATTTAGAAGTTGACCCTTCTTGAATGGAGGTAGGATTAGTTTGCTAAAGTCTGTGAGCAACCATACAAACAAACACCACCATTTCATGAATTTATTGAATCTTATTTTAAACCATGGTTTATTCAGACCTCCTTAAGGTGTTACAGGGAAATAGTCGGAGACTTACTAGCTAAAAGCCGATCACAGGTTCACATACATCTGTTCTCTACCATAAAAATCTTGACCATCTTCCCGGCCCTCGTTCATTTATTCCTCCTTTTATTTCAGTCGACTTTTCGCTTTTATTATCTCTTTCTCTATTTTTAATTATTTTGATCTCTTGAACCATTTTATTTTTGTGCGACAGCCTATGTTGCTTCTTCCCTATACATGCGTTTCTTTATTGTACCCGTCCATTCATCTCCTTTATATGTATACCCATGAGTTCTTAAGTCATTTCCTTGTGTATCTTTGGTTTGAAGAGGTGCAAAGGCATACTAAAAATATTATTTATTACCATATCGGATAGGACAGTTTTAGGTTGTTTTTATTGCCAGTTATAGGTGGCATTTACAACTACGTATTCATAGCGGATAAGTGTTGTTTTACTTGATCTGGGTTGTGTGAGTTGTTTACTTTTAGTGACGTCGGAGAGGGATCAGTTGATTAAGTCCTCTAATTGTTGGTCTGAGTCATGCATGGAGATGTAAACTGCTTGGCTGGGGTCGGCCAGACAAAAGGAATCGGTGGTGAAATGACTGAAAATTGGTCATTTTGACTAGTTAATTTAAAAATATTCCAATCGAAATCCAGTCGACAACATTGTTTATATTCGTGCAGTAGACCACATATATCATCCGAGGCCTCATGATATTACGTCAGTAGGTGGGATTGGGTTTGAACTCGTGACCCATCGGTCCGAAACCAGGTGTCTACCAATTGAATTTTGGCTAGGTGCTATTACTGAGCAGAAATCTGAGTGTGTTTGGCATGTTTTTCCCCCCTGTCAAATGTAAGGTGATGTTTCAGAATTTGTTTGCAACTACCCGAAGTCTCAGCTTAGTGATGAGGAGTGGATTCGGGGGACGCGTCGAATAGGACTTGTTTGAGAAGTCGCATCAGCCTTAATGTTTTGGTTACTGACAAAATCTGCTCGGATACAAAAGCGCTATTTATCATTTGCCAACTTGTATCATATGCGGCACCAATGAGATATCCGACCACTTATTTAAGGACGAGCATGTTGCTATGCAGTCCCTTTTGTTCTCTTGTGTGGCTGTGAGAAATGCCCGCTGGAAGTAAAAGGTGTGAAGAAATTTCAGAGCTTTGATCAAGTTTTTTCTTAACATTGTTTACATATGGTAGATTCACAGTGTGAGCAGTGTTCAACTTAGGTGAAGGGTATGAGTTATGGAAGGCATATCACTCGATGAGGTTGTGAACCTTCACTTACTGAGGTGGCTCGAACATGTGTTGTGGATGCCGACTTGTCGCCTGCTTCGATCCTCACTGTCACCCTAAGTTGGACTGGAAGATGACTCAGAGTAGTTAGATCAAGACGTGGCAACACTTCATGAAGATCGTGACTGTCGGTATGAGTTGTGTAGCAAGATGTAGACTGCTTAGTTAGAATCCTCGACACAGTAGTTGGAAAGTCGTGATGACATGACTAAAAATCGGTCACAGTGGCGCAAATGTATTTACTCTTTGACGTCTTCTAAAGTCTGAAAATTTTCCCCAACCTTTGTTTTGAAGAATTCTCTCATACACTTTTATATCACTTTTTTCTACATACTTGTCCTTTAGATTCTACTGTGGAGTATAACAACGTGAACCGACGCACTTCTGTACATGGTTCTATATTGGTTTTTTCTGTTTGTCTGCTTTACTGATAGTTTGTTGCAGGTTATGCTGCTTCAGATCATTCACAGGCCTCTTCCTTAACCTTGGATAAGATTGTTCAATAAAAGCTGCTGATCTAATGGCTTTTAAATGTGAGGAATCCATTTATGATGTCACATACCTGGTAAGTGTTTGATGAGCGACCACTGTCCATTGAAGATTGAAGGGTGTTATTACTGATCAGTGAATTTTACATGAATATTAACTAACAAATTATATTTTCTGTGTAGTGGTGCTTATGGTTGTTAATAAGTCACCAGCTTTAAAATTTTCTAAACTTCCATCATGAACATGAATATTTCAGTGCATTTACAGAATACTACTACCATCACCATATAAGTAGCCTATTGGTTTCCTTGTACATTTCTCTGTTGGTGTACGTTGAATATGATAAAGCGAGTTGGAATTTTCAATCCTAAATTTCATAAAAGATTTCGTATACGTTATCTTCCTAAAGGATATACTCACCAAATGCTTGAATTTGTGATAACTCTATATGGTCAGGACATTTTTTTCGAAATCATCTCGAGTGCATCATCAGTCAATGGTACATTCCATCGTCATTACTATTATTTCTTCTAAAAGCTTTCGACTTTAGGGCATATTGAATACCCAATAGGGATTAAGCCAAATTCAACACATCTAGCCAGATTTTCATATTTTTCTCTCCATAAAGCAGATAGTAATCGCTAAAACACTTTACCAGTTCTTCAAAGTATCTTCTCAAGTATCATTAGTCGTTGCTTAGTATAATTCAACTAAAAATATTTCAGTTCCTTGAGTTTTATCTGTTACCTGTGTACCTCAAGCAAAGATCCTAAGTGTCACAGTTTCACATAACTTATGGAGTAATCTAAACGTTTTTGTTTTTCTCTGCATAAAATTCAGGAAAAACGAACAGGAGTTCCGTTTTTATACTTCGTTGAAGTTCTCTGGTCTAGTCTCTGATATATTTATTTCATATTCCATACATAAATCCATATTTTAATGTCATCATCTTCTG